AAAATAAGTAATAATGAATTCCTAGAGCCAGTGATTTATAAAGCATAAAATCAAAAAGGGACATCATATTGAATTTTACAATATAAAAGCAAAGTGCGGAAAAATCAATTCAATTGATCACGTGATCTATACAAATGCGATGCGCTGTTCGGCTACCGAGAGAACATAGTAAAATTAAAACAGCTAAAACGCATAACTATTTTTAGGATCACGAATAAAATAAAGAAAAACTTGGCAGTGAAGTAAACCTGAAATTTTTCCCTAAGCAAACAAACAATGAATCAGCTAATGAATGGCTTCACCAAACAAACATGAACAATAAGAAACAAATTATTCAAAAAAAAAGGAAAAAAATAGGAAGATTGAGACTTACAATAAGCGGCCAATACGAGAGAAAGAGAGAATCGATGAAATCGCAGAGTGAAAACCCTAGAACCAAGGAATGATCCGTGTGGAGAAATCGAGAACCGAAAAGCATGAATTAAAAAATTAGAAAGAAAAAAAGCACCAAATCTCAAGCTTTTAAAGATTCGACCAGTATACATAAAACGAAATCAATTTTTTTCAAAAAAAAAAAGGAAATTCAATTCAATTATAGCTCATTTTAAATAATTTTTTGGCTTAAATATACAAAAGGTGCCCAACATATGCCTTTGGTTCTAATTTAGTGTCTAACATTTATTTTGTTTCAGTTTGGTATCTAAGGTTTCATTCTGTAACTCAAATTGGATCATGCCATGACGGACCATTAAGCTTGGCTGTTAAGTGACACGTATCACAACCTGGTAATTTTAAAAAAAATTATTTAAAATTAAAAAATTATATATATATATTAAAAGAAAACTCAAATTTTAAAATAAATCCAAAACTTTGAAAATCTTCATTTCAACCCTAAACCCACATCGACCGCCATCTTTTACCGTCGATGAAGCTCCCATCAGTGACCAAAACCCCATAAAATCATTACCGGTCGACGATCGATCGATGATGAATCAATGTTTTATACCCCGCGAACCCTAGGATGAAAATCGCGATCCCACGCAATTTCGACGGTTTATCAACCATCGGTCATTCATGATTTCATTAGGGTTTTGGTCACTGAGTGGAGGGGAGGTCGGGTGGAGGTTCGTCGATGGCAAAAGACGATGTCCAACGTGGGCTTATGGGTTGAAATGAAGGTTTTCAAAGTTTTGAGTTTATTTCAAATTTTGGGTTTTATTTTTAATATATATATATATATAATTTTTTTAATTTTAAATAAAAATTGTAAAATTTCCAGGTTGTGACATGTGTCACTTAACGGCAAACTTAACGGTTCGTCACGACCTGACCCAATTTGAGTTATAGAATAAAACGTTAAGCACCAAACTGAAACGAAATAAACGTTAGGCATTCAACCGGAACCAAAGGCATACGATGGCACCTTTTTTACATTTAATCTATTACACCCCAATTTTGGGGTTAAAATTTTTCTTAATTTATTTTGAGGATTAATTTGAATTTTTGGTAAAATTTAAAAACCAAAATGGAATTTTAATTAATTTCAGGTCCAAAATCTGAAAGTTCTAAGCTTGAGGGACTTATGGCATAATTTATCCATTTTTTAAGTGTGGTGGCTATAAAACCCATTTTTCCTAAAGTTTCCTCGTTTGAAAATTATATTTTCTTTCTTCAAGCTTTCCATTTTTAGTAAACTTATCCCAGGAAAACTTTGATCGCCAATTTACCGTCGACCGTTGCTACGTTTAGTTCACCGCCCATACCATCATGTCTTTGGTGTAGTCCTGATTCCAATGGAATTAATTTGAATTTTTGGTAAAATTTAAAAACCAAAATGGAATTTTAATTAATTTCAGGTCCAAAATCTGAAAGTTCTAAGCTTGAGGGACTTATGGCATAATTTATCCATTTTTTAAGTATGGTGGCTATAAAACCCATTTTTCCTAAAGTTTCCTCGTTTGAAAATTAGATTTTCTTTCTTCAAGCTTTCCATTTTTAGTAAACTTATCCCAAGAAAACTTTGATCGCCAATTTACCACCGACCGTTGCTACGTTTAGTTCACCGCCCATACCATCATGTCTTTGGTGTAGTCCTGATTCCAATGGTGGTCGCCTTATAGTCACAGTAGTCGACGTGAGGAGGGGTGAACGATAATAAGTTTCTGACGAGTTGTTATTGAGCTCTCCACTGTTCGCCGTTGAGAACCAAAGTTGGTAAGTTCCTTAAAACGCTTGAAAATAATTTTTGTAATTTTTGTAATTTTTTCGTCACCAAACACTGCCGCACGCACCCCTCGTCGTTACGCGTGGGGTAAGTCTACCGCTTGGTGGGTTCTAGAAGCGGGTCAAACCGACCTGCTGACTGGCCCGTTGACCCGCCCGTCTAACCCGATCCGTACCGCATTTGACCCGTCTAATCCATTCAGCCCAGACCCAAATATGATCCAGAAAAAATATCGAACCTCCCCAACCTGAATCGGTCCAACTGAACTGAACCGAGCTGTACTGAGCTGACTTGAACTGTATCGAGCCGAGTCGAATCGGACTAAACTGGTCAATCAGTATCGTACTGTGCTGAGCGGCACCGTACCGCATCACATCGTTATTGCCATCGTTGACCGTTAACCAGAGTTGACTTTTTTCGAAAACCTTTTTCTTGACTTTTTCGATGTCCCGAGTCTAATTTTATGGTTTGTTTTTTCAAATTCTGATCTGAAAGCCCCAAATTAAGCATGTTTATCCAAAAATGATTAGTATTTTTAACAGTTTTGTTTATTTATTTGGGATTTGATTATGGAATTAATCTAAGACTATATTTTCGTGAAGGTACCAGTGATTCACCTGAACGAAGGTCGACCAGATCCGGTACTTCCCGTCTGACAGACCACCACGTTACACATTCTTCGAGAGTGACTAGTAGGTTTTCATAAATTATTTAATTAAGGTTTATTGTTTATTTTCTGTTAGATTTTGAGATACTTTTTTTTATTTGTAGGGTCTAGTGTTGTCGTCGATCGTGATAGGTAGACCCGAGAGTTGGCTACCATCCCATACTTCTCAGATTAGTACAGGTGTGTTCCTATTGGTGTTACATTACTATTTTAAATCATCTGTCTAAACTATTTTGAAAATTTAAATATTCTGACTGCATGAAATATGTTTTACTGCATACTCTGACTTCTGATATCTGATTTATCGTATATTCTAGCATGATCTTTGATTATTGTATTTTCTGTATGTGATTCTGAAAAATGGCATTCTTTAATGTTTTATTAAATTAAATTATTGTTTTCACGCAAATTCTTGTGTATTTACTATCACTGGGGATATAATTGGAGGAAGTATCTGAGGCCTAATATATGACTTGTAAGACCTTACCGCATGCAACTATGCTTTGTGCATTGGCCAATACCTTACCGCATACCCTTATGCTATCAGTATAAGGTCCTTACCGGGCGTACAAGTGGATGTATGGTTTAGGGGAACTTGCATATTTTGATGTTCGGATGGTGGTAGTGTTCATGTTTTAAAATCATGTTTTATAAATAAACTTTTACCAAAATATTTTATCTATATGTTTTTATACACCGCAAGGAGCACACTTAGCTTTTAAGCTTATTCTTTAATTTTTAAATTTTTAGATACTATCTGATAGTAGGCTAGCAGACTTGGCATTAGGACGTTTGACCATTCTACATTTTTGTACCACTGTATATTTTCTACGCCATCTCTGTTATATTTTAGTGATACATGTTTTATTCTCTTCTGTGTGTATCTGTATACCGATAATTTGTTCTGATCACAATTATATACGAAATTATGATGAAGTGTATATATATATATTGTTATGTATTTTCGTATTTTACCGTTAATCATATTTATTTACCGAAATGGATTTTAAATGTGTTTTGAATCTTAAAATGATTTCTGAATATGATATGTGACCGCCTAGATTCAGGTCTACCATTTAGGTCGGGTTTAGAGGGTTACATTTGGAGGTATTAGAACTTTCAATTTTAAACACTCGAACTATGGATGAGTCTAAATACCATATTTTTAAAGATATTTTCTAACATTTACAAACACTGTGTCACCTTATTTTATGAGTTTTAAATAAATTTGAGATTTATGATGCCAATCTAACTTAGGTTTAAATTCTTTCTATACAGCCTATTAGATCTGATATGATGAGTGCTAGAGGTCGTAGGATAGGTCGTTACCAAGGTCGTGGGCGAGCGACTTAACCTTCTTTTTCTTTAGATAATCCGTCATTAGTTAAAGATCCCCTTGCTCTGCGATTTCATCTGTCTACCTTCCGATAGGATCCGGTCGCACTTGTGTAAGACCCTCCATTACTAAGGACAAGTATGTTGAGATTGATCAAGGTGCCATAAGCAAAGTTATTTATCGCATGTTTCAGAGGGCAGGTAGAGCTCCTCTAATATGTCTGTTGTGGATATATCTATGTCTCTGGATGCTACTGGAGTGGTTTCGTTTGAGGGCATGAATGGGGGACCTCTGACAGATGATGAGTACTGGTTGGAGGACATCGAGAGGATTATAGACGATATGTAGCTGAGGCCCGAATAGAAGTTGAAGGGAGCACTAGCTTTGCTTAGGATGAAAATGATGAGATGGTGAAATTCAATTTCCAGAAGTATTTCGAGGGATCAATTGACTTGGGATCTTTTCAAGGAACATTTCCAGAGTCGCTACATCGGAGAGAGATACTTACATAAGCGACGTCAGGAGTTTGAAGTAGGATGATATGTCTGTTATGGATTATGAGATCGAGTTTATCAGACTGAGTCGATATGCTTCAGGTTTGGTGGACATCGAGGTAGATATCTACTTGAGGTTTGAAAATAGATTGAGATATGAGATTAGGGATCAAATTGCTACCCATTGAAAGAGGGACTTTGATACCTTGGTAGAGATAGCCAATACTATAGAGGAGATGAAACGAGTGGGTATGGAGCGTATAAGGGATAGAGACCGAGATGGAGATAGAGATCGATTCAGGGGATCTTCTGGTTTTGGTGATGTTTCTGCACGTACCAATAAGAGAGGTAGGGACGAGTCTTCTCATATCCAGACCTAAAGCGTCACATACTATAACAATTTTAGTTTATAGTTATGGTGGTTCTTCTAGAGTATCGTCTTTACCTACGTCTGAGTACTGTGGGAGACATCAATTTGGAAAGTGCAAAAATAAGATGAGTACTTATTTTAGATGTGGATATGGAGACCATTTCTTGAGGGATTGTTCAAAGTTAGCTTCCACCTTTCAGACATCCGTTCGTACTTATAGTATAGTTCAGACTTCAGTTGGGGGTCATAGTCAGCAGAGAGTATATGGGCCTGTTAGTAGGGACCGACCTTCTCAGGGTAGGGGTACAGCTCAGACTGAGGCCAAACAACCTAGATTGGTATATACTTCTAAACATCGACAGGATTGCGATGAGCTTGATGTGATTGTAGGTACCTTCATTATTTATTTAGTTTCGTATTATACCTTATCTGATTCTGGTTCTACCCATTCTTTTGTATCACATACTGTATCTGTAAGTCTCGATATTTCGATTGAGAATACCTAGAGTTCTATGACAATTCATATTCCTGCAGGTCTATCCTTAGAGTTTAACCAAATTTACAAAGAATGCCCATGGAGGCTCTATTCTCGCATCTATTCAGACCGAGTAAATTTTGAGGATGAAATTTCATTTAGGGAGTGAGTTGTCACACCCTAATTCTGGGATTAAAATTTTTCTTAATTTATTTTGAGAATTTATTTGAAATTTTGGTAAAATTTAGAGACCGAAATGGAATTTTAATTACTTTCAGGTCCAAAATCTAAAAGTTCTAAGCTTGAAGGGCTTATGACATAATTTAGCCATTTTCTAAGTGTGGTGGGTATAAAACCCATTTTTCCTGAAAGTTTCCTTATTTGGAAATTATATTTTCTCTCTCCAAGCTTTCCATTTTCAGCAAACTTATCCTGGTAAAACTTTGATCTTCAATTTATCACCGACCGTTGTTTTATTTAGTGCACCGCCCATACCATCATGTATGTGGTGTCGTCCTGAGTCCAACAGTGGTCACCTTGTAGTCAGAGTTGTCAGTATAAGGAGGTGTAAGCGATAACAAGTTTTTAATTAGTCATATCGAGCTCTTCGTTGTTCACCATTGTGAATCGAGGTTGGTAAGTGCCTTAAAATACTTGGAAAAAAAATTTATAATTTATTTTTTTTGTAATTTTCCATCACCAAACACTATCACACACGCCGCCACTGTGCGTGGGGGAAGTTCACCGCTTGGTTGCTTCTAGAAGCAAGTCAAATCGACCCGCCTGACCCGATCCATACCGCATCTGACTCGTTCGATCCATTCAGCCCATACCCAAATATGATTTGGCCCAAATATGGAACTGCCCCAACTGGATCGCCCCAAACTGAATTGATCCAATCGAACCGAACCGAGCCGCACCGAGCTTACCCAAAATGTGTCAAGACGAGCTAAATCATACTGAATCGGTCTATCCGCACGGTACTACGCTGAGCTGCATCACACTGCACCTATCATTTTGGACGTCGTTTAATCGTCGTCGTTAACCGTTGACCGACGTTAACTATTGACCAAAGTTGACTTTTTCTTAAAACCTTTTTCTTGATTTTTTTGACATCCCGGGTCCATTTTTCTAAATTTTCATCTGAAAGCCCCGTATCGAGCTTGTTAATTAAAAAATGCTTAGTATTTTAAGCATTTCTGTGTATTATTTGGGATTTGATTATTAAATTAATCTGAAGCTATATTTTCGTGAAGGTACCAGTGATTCACCTGAACGATATCGATCAGATCCAATACTTCCCGTCCGATAAACTAGCACATTATATGTTCTTTGAGAGCGGCTAGTACGTTTTCGTAAATTATTTAATTAAGGTTTATTATTTATTTTTTGTTAGGATTTTGAGATAGTTTCCCTGATTCGTAGGGTCTAGTGCTACTGCTGATCATGATAGGTAGACCCGAGAGTCCGCTACCATCCCAAACTTCTCAGATCGGTACAAGTGTGTTCCTATTGGTGTTACAGTACTATTTTAAATCATTTGTCTGAACTGTTTTGAAAATTTAAATATTATGACAGCATGAAATATGTTTTACCCCATACTATGACTTCTGATATCTGATTTATCGTATATTCTGGCATGATCTCTGATTAACATATTTTATGTATCTGATTCTGAAAAATGGCATGCTTTAATGTTTTATTAAATTAAATTATTGATTTCACTCAAATTTATGTGTATTTACTATCACAAGGGGTATAATTGGATGAAGTATCTAGTCTCTAACTTCTAAGATCTTACCTCAGGCACCTCTGATTTGTGCATTGGTTAAGACCTTACCGCATGCCCTTATGCTATCAGTATAAGGTCCTTACCAGGCGTACAAGTAGGTGTATGGTTCAGGGGAACATGCACATTCTGGTGTTCGGATGGGGGTAGTGTTCATGTTTTAAAATTATGTTTTATAAATAAACTTTTACCGAAATATTTTATATGTATGTTTTTATATACCGCAAGGAGCACACTGATCGTTTTAGTTCATTCCTTAATTTTTAACTTTTCAGATCCTATCTGACAATAGACTAGAAGACTTAGCATTAAGAGGTTCAACCATTCTACATTTTTGTATCATTGTATATTTTCTACGCCATCTCTGTTATATTTTGGCGACACGTGTATTATTATCGTCTGTATGTATCTGTATACCGATAATTTTATTTTGACCACATTTTCATACAAAATTATGATGACATGTATATGTGTATGTATATATATATATATATATATATATATATATATATATATATATTTATGTTTTTTCTTATTTTACCGTTAACCGTATATATTTACTAAAATGGATTTTAAATGTGCTTTGAATCTGACAATGCTCTATGAATACAATATTTGACCGCCTAGATTCGGGTTTACTATCTAGGTCAAGTCTAAGGGGTTACATAAGCCTAATTATTTTTAATAAAAAATATAAAATAATGTGAATGGTATAGGAGGCATTTCAACTGTTTATTACTCTTTCTGTCTCACTAAATGTGTATTTTTTTTATTTTTAAAATTATTTAATTTAAAATGTCATATTAGAAAAATCAACAAATATTGACAAATATGTTTTCTATTTGGCTTAATATCAAAATAAGTGCCCAACCTATACCATTTTTCACTAATAGGTACCTAAAGTATTTTTTAACTGATCCTAGTGCCTGAGGTTACAAACGTCACCACTTTAGGTGTTCGGACCGTCAACGGTGTTAATTTCCCCTATTAAGTGACATGTGTCACAATCTAGTGATTTTAAATTTTTTTAAAAAATATATGAAAAATATTATTATATTTATTAAAAAACATTAATTTCTCTTAAATTATAAAAAAAACTCAAAATCCCTAAAATTCTCAAATCCTAACCTTAACCCACAACCGCTCTTTTCGGCAATGACCACTGCAGCCGATGTAGTTCATGTCATCCTCTTAGTGATATGTCGTCGTAGTTGTAGTCGATTAGCTATCAAATCCCATGGGATCGCTATTTTCATCCTAAGTTGGTGGGGTATAAAATGTCGATTCGTTGTTGAAAGGCCATCGATCGGTCGCGATTTTATAATGGTTTTGGTTGTCGGGGGAAGTGAGGTCAAATGGAGCTACAGCGATGGCAAAGGGTGACGATTGTCGTGAGTTTAGGGTTTGAAATGAATGTTTTCAAAATTTTGGGTTTATTTCAAAATTTTATGTTTTTTAAAAATATATAATTTTAGTTTTTAAATTTTAAATAAAATTTTTAAAATTGCCAGATTATGACATATGTCACTTAATGAGATAAATTAACATTGTTAACGGCCCATATACCTAAAGTAGTAACATTTGTAACATTAGGCACCGGGATGAATAAAAAAATACTTTAGGCACCTATTCATAAAAAGAGATATAGTTTAGAACTTATTTTGGTATTAAGCCTTTCTTTTTTACCCTTATATGTCATATTCTTTTACACCTATCAAAATAATATCAATCACATTTTAAGGATAATTTTTTCATTTTCTTTGATCAATGTCTCTTAAAACTATGTGCATAATCATTATAAAACGCAAGCGATGGAAAGAGCATTTAAATTTATTTTGTATTAAATGTAATTTTTTTTATTAATATAAGGTGATTACAAAGTAGTATCTGTTTTAAGTACTCTATACCATTTGACAATAAACGCTCAATCACCCTGTTACAGTTGTTGGTGCTCGAACCTGTGACATCTAAGAACAACAATGATTCCTTTAATCACATAGTTAAATTGGTTTGTGCTATTAAATTTAATTTTTAAATTAAAAAATAATTTAATCTTTTAATCAACGTGAAACATCAATATGTTATCCACTATAAACGATAATATGATAAAGGAGTTTATTTAATTATTTTAATTATTTCATTTTAAAAATAAAATTAATTAAATATTAAAATTAAATATAAAAAATTTAAAAATTTTAATTACTTAAAATTAAAAAATAACAAAAACTACTAGAATTTTCAGAAAACTAAAAAATTAAAAAGTATCACAAATTATAAAAAAAAATTATATTATTGTTTTTTAATTAAAAGGAATAAAGTTAATTAGCTATTGCCTCCGACGAGACTAACAGAAAAACTAGAAATATTATTAGATAACATGTCAAGGATTGCAATCGGGGTGTTTCATACGAAAAGTGTAGGATTCGAAAAGCTGAAACTCATACAAAAGTCTAAAAAAAACCCAATTTAAGATTAAAATACAGAGAAAATATAGCGTTATAAAAAATATGAATAAATACAATATTTTAAATCCCACGTAACTTAAAATGATATATTCTTCATAATATTTTTAATTGTAAGTTAAAATATTAAAAAAGTATAATATTTTCGGTTGTCATTAGAAAATATTATGAAGAATATAATATTCTAAGGGCTTGTTTGTTTCACATAAAACATTTTTCAGAAAACGTTTTCCTCGTTTTTAATATTTGGTTGGAGGAAAACTGGTTGGTCAAGGTAAAAATTTTCTTGGTCAACAGAATTTTCTATGTTTTCTGGAAAATGACTTACGGTTTGATTTTCCGTAAATCATTTTTTCGAACATTTCACTTCAAAGAATAAATATTCAAAATAATTTTGTTTTATAAATTTAATATTAATAAAATATTTTAATATCATTTTAATCAAAATATTAATTATTAAAATATTTAGAATATATTTATTGAATAATAATATAATATTATACTTTTTAATATTATAATAAAATAATCAATTATATTACAATAATATAAGATATTATATTTTTACTTTAATAATATATAATAAAATATTAATAATATATATATATATATTATTTATTAATTTAATAAAAATAATATTATTAAATTATTAATAATGAATAATATTATTTATGTTTTTAACATTAATATAATAATCTAATAATGTTTTAATAAATATATTTATATTTATAATATGATTTATAATATTTATATTTCAATAAAATGTACTAATATTAATATTTT